CAAATATGCTAGAATGCTTAACCAATGTCAATTTCAAGTAGAAAAATATCATAATTTACACTAACAGATGACAAATGAAAGAATTAAAAAATGTTAAATTTAGGTGTCAAATTTGTTTTACAGAGGTGTGAAATTAGTTTTATAGAACTGTGTCAATAGCTTATTTTGATGGTGAAGGTGATCAGAGTTCTTGTGATCAGAATTTTTAGAGCCGGCTCCTTGCCAAGCAAAAAAAAATAAAAATAAAAGAAAAAAAAAATAATGGACAGCCGGCTCAAGAAGAAATGTGGAGACGGCTCAACCCAATTTTTTGGAGACGGCTCAATTAATTTGTAGAGCCGGCTCTTTTGGGCTTTTTCAGAGATGCTGAGAGATGGATGTTTAACGGAAGGCAGATTTAACGGAATAATGCGTTTTGCACCATTTTAGTGGAGCCCACAGACATATTACAAACTGAAGCACACGTGGCCAAACTAAGGCCTTTCATCAGCTCACAGCAGGGGACTGCATGGTAACTCACAGCAGGGGATTTGAGCCCTAAAGGAATGGTGATGATGATTTTGTGGGTCCACTTGAATAATGATTTTAATGGGTTGTTTGGTTTCGTTATTTTATATATATTGTAATCAGCTGGTGTAAAAGGTGGGCTGCCGACAAATGGAAAGGGTATTCGGTTTGGTTTGGTGAAGTAATGATTCATTTTACTTTTTGCTTTTTGACCAAGTCATGTGTTTATATGTTTTGTGACTGATGCAGTTTGCTAAGTGATATATAGAATGAAAAATAAAGAATAAAAAATAAGGATAGGGTGGTGGGGTCTACCAGAAAACTTTTTGGTCTTGGGCTTGATTTTTTGCACGTGGGTTTGTTGGTTGATTTTTCTTTGAGGGTGGTACAATTTGCCTAAATATTTGGTGTTTGTGACTTGGCGCGTATACGGAACAGAAAAGAAAATTAGAGTTTGAGAGACAGACAGTTTTGAGGAAAGATTGAGTGTGAGCTGAGACGGAGAGACAGTGAGAGGCCAGGAGTTGTAGAGGAGGCCGAAGGTTTGAGGTTTTGACGATCCAGTGTGGAAATATGTCTTTTTTAATGTAGGATTCTCTATACCTTAAATGGCATGGGTAGTTTTGCTTCAGCGGTTTTTATTAAATGTTTTAATTAAATGCATATGTATTTTGTTTATATATTCACCTGAATATGTTTATTTGTGAAGCTGTTTTGTTAAACCTTTATGAAATTCTTGTTGTGGTTTTTCCTACTGGTACTTTCTGTCTCACCACCCTCTAGTTTCAGGTATCGAAGATGTACGGGGATTGCTAGATTCGGGCTTAGGTAGAAGAATCGGCGTTACAGGATTTATTTTATTTATTTGGAGAATTTTTGTATATATTTGAGGAAATTGACTTTGCATAAAAGAGGGCATTTTGTTTTTATTCCTTGGTGTATTTTAATGTATTTGGATTTGTATAAATTGAGGATTTTATTAGAAAATTTTCGGACATGACAAAATGGTATCAGAGCATTTTCTTAGAATTTTTGGGTCGTAACATATATATACACACTGGAGGCTTCTAGATAGTGCGCACACTGATCTGGGTTATTTATATATATACACATTGAAGGCTTCTGATAGTGCGCACATTGATCTGGGCTGTTGAAAGAGTTTGATGTAAGTGGATTTATTCATTGCATCGCGGCGCATTGAAGTATAGTGCGCATATGAATTTGGACCATGGATTAGGTTTGGTCAACAGAATACTGATCTGGTGTGGGTGTATACATGTGAGCTCAGGTTAAATAATTTGGTGTGGGTGCATAAAGGTGAGCTTAAGTGAGCTAATTTAGTGTGGGTGCATTCATGTGAGCCCTATAACGGGCAACTTTATACCAAATTGTTTTTATTTTTTCAAATTTAAGTGACCCCAAATGTTCATATATGACTTAGAAGGTTTTTATAAGGTTCCCAGTGCACTGCACAGTCCAAAATGACTAAATTACCCCTATAACTTTAAGTGAACCGGTTTAAGGTTAAAGTTGATTCTATTACTAGTAAGTGATCCAAAATGAGTCATAAGCATTGTTATGGCCTTCTCATGGCGTTTAGTACGCGATATTGGTCAAATAGACCATTTTACTCTTGGGTGGTTCCGGGTCGGGTCACGACCCGATTAGGGTTTCGGACCACGGCTTTAGGTCGTTACATCCTACCTCCCATTTGAACGCTTAAAACTGTCCGTTTAAGTCCCAAACACTCATAAATGAAACAATGTAGTGCAAAATAGATAATCTCAATGTAAACGAAGAACATAGTGATGTCAAGAAATTTCCCGAACACGAAAATCTACCGCGGAGGCCACCCTACACCTCCTGGGTGTGAAAACTGAAAGCACCCGAAATGAACCAAATTGAGTTTCTAAGGGTTCTGAATTGGAAGAAACATCCCAAACAACTCGTGAAACATCGACGCACACATCCCTGTGCACAACTAAAAGAAAAATGTCGAAAAAATATCACAAAAATTCGGGACGTCACAACACGTTTTGTTTTCCATTTTGGACTCCTTTTTTTGTTAATGTTTATATGCAATGTGTTAAGCATGTTTTGTTGTGGTACTTTCAGACATGACATATTTATGATCTTATGTATTTTTTAAAAGGAAAATGGCTTGGGAACTCATCTTCATCTTTTGGAGTTCCTGAATGATTTTATCTTCTTCATCCGTTTTGAAATTCTTGGATGAGAAATGTAATGAGGCCATTCTAATGTCAATGTGTATCTTTATTCATAATTGATTGCAAACTTTGTATATTTTTTTTTTGCACACACTATGATTCACCCCATCCATGCCATGATTTGTATTTTATATGAGGTTTGGGGCAAGTTTTTGAAGGAAGGTTGAACCTTAGGATGATTTTCCTAACTTATCCATATCTTCTTTGCAACCAAATTGACGATTTTTGGGCATTCTGGGCTCATTTGAGTGCATTTGGTAACCGGACCCTTGGAAGTCATTTTTTGAGGCTTAAATATATTTGTTGGGAAGAATTTCTGCTTCTAGGCAACCGGTCGCCCCTCACCTACGACTGGTCGTCCATCTATTCGTCCACTGGCCAGCTTTGTCATCCGATCTTGCAACAGTCAAAACTTTATCATTTTAAACCTAAATTAGGCCATTCTTAAGCCTAAATTGAAGGAGTTTGAGTCAGATTCCCATCCTACTGAGAGATATTTATGTTATAGTGAAACGGGAAATCTCTTAGACCGAGAGGGGGCATTTGTGAAAAATCATGACTGAGGTCCTTAGAAACTCTTGGGATGTTATGAAATAATTTGAATGGATTGAATGGACATCCTTGATGTGTTTAGGGTTAAGTTATCATCCTCATTTGTATAAAATGACTATTTTGCCCCTAGTTGGCAATCGAGTTTGGGAAAGGACCGTGAGGAAAGAATGTGCAAAGTAGACAATATTCACTAGTGTAGATCCCCTGTCCTCATTGAGCCCTAAAAGAAGGTGTTGGACTGGCAATAGCCCATATTATCATCAGTAAGGATTCCAAAAGGGGCTTTCCAATTTTACCTCAGGGTATGTTTGGTATAGTGTAAAACAAAAGAAATAATAACATTAGTTAGGAGGGAAAAGAAAAGAAAGGAAATGAGAGGATAGTGTTAGTTACTTGTTGTGTTCTGTTGATTAATAAAACAAAAGAAAGGAAATAATAATAATCATGTTTGGGAAAAAAAGAGAATGAAACTAATATAATGAATTTACAACCATACCCCTTTTATAGAATTTTTCTCTTATAGATATAAGGACAAATTTGGTATTAATAAAATTTTATTAAAAATATTAGTTTTCCTTCTCTTTCCTTCCATTTTCCCCCAAAATGAAAGGATAACAAAAGTTACTGTTTATCCTTTAGTCTTTCCTTCCAAACCCCTCCATTCCCTCCCCATTCCATCCAACATTTTGTACCAAACATAACTTTTTATTTTCTCCCACTTCCCTTCTTTTCTTTTTCCCCCCATTTCCATTGTACCAAACTCAGCCATAGGGTCAGCAAACAGAGAGATATCATAGCCCATATTTATATTGCTACTAATTAAGTCAAAAAGGAAGATCATGTAAACAATATTGGAAAAGCATTTTCCAATCCAAGTTGAAGGTTAGGATTTTGCAGTGTAATCGTGAATGAATTTCAATTTCCTTCCTTCCACACACAACTTTCTTTCGTGAATTGCTTCACCTTTTGAGATGGAAATTTTTTTCTAACTTGTATCTCAAATTGAGATGAAATTCCACACTCATCTATAGTGAGCCATGGATCTCTCATTTCTTTCGCTTGAATTTTTCCTTCTTTTTTTTTTTCATCGTTCCTTTAAATTGTGTTAGTAGTAACAATGTTTCACACACAGGATCGAAGGAATTTATTTCAATTTCCTACCAAGAACAATTGAGGTAAGGCTCCTAACATGTTCAATATAATGTCTGAATGGTGTAGAACATGTATGAATTTTTTTTGGATGGTTTGAATGCTTTGTTTGAAGGGTTTGAGCGCATCATTATATTTCAATTTAAGCAATATTACAGCATATACACCATAATTTTTATTTGATCTAGAATCATGATTATGACGATTCTCTACTTTTCTTTCATCCCCATAGTAACTATGACTATGACATAATTTACTGGTTTATGATTAAAGGTGCAGACTTGCAGTGGCTATATATTATTAATTACTCGACAGCCCAAGTTACTGGTTTATGATTAAAGGTGCAGACTTGCAGTGGCTATATATTATTAATTACTCGACAGCCCAAGGGCTACTCTTTCAATCATATCAGTCTCTAATAAGATATTAGCCTCATTAAAACAAGGAAAATGTGGGAAGTACAGAATACTACTAAACCTGATACATGATAATCTTGATTTGTTTTAGATTTCAAGTCTTACCAATATTTTCTAAAAAGGAGAGTTCAATTTTTTTAAGTCTAACCAAGGCTTCTTCGATGCTGATCCTTTTCTCAGGTAAATCATTTGAACATTCCACGGCCAAACCCAAGATAGATGATACACATTGCTCCTTCACAAAAAAATCTTCTTCTTCTTTGCTTCCCATCAAATTGGAGTCCACAACTGCAATTATTGAACCATCCAACGCGTCATTCACCCAACTCTTCAAGCTCATCTCCCCGACAAACATTTCATCTGTCGGCTTCTTCCTTGTGAATGTTTCCATCAACATAACACCGTAACTATAGACGTCACCTCTTGTAGATACTATTCCTCCCGTTCCATACTCTATGCATAACAATAACATCAATTGATTACAAAATCAAAGACTAGAACTAATCATTAGCATGGAAAAAAAATTTAAAAAAAAAAAAAAAAATCTTGTTTAAAAAGAAATAGGAACATTACCTGGTGCCATATACCCAATTGTTGCCAAGGTCATAGTTTGTAACATTATATCCCCTTCACTTAAGAGTTTCGCAATCCCAAAATCAGCAACATTTGCAACACTATCTTCCATCGAGGAGGACATTGCTGGGCTTCAAATCACAATGAACAATGGGTGTTGTATGACCATGATGTAGATACTCCAAGGCTGATGCAACATCTATCATGACATTTAACCGTTGCAGGATATCCAAACAATACTTGTGAGAATACAACCACATCTCGAGGCTCCCATTAGACATGTACTCTAGTACCAAGGCTTTGAAATCCAGGTTAGTGCAACTACTGATGATTTTAATTAGATTCTGATGGCGAATATTGCGCATTACTTCGCACTCAACATCAAAACTCTTTAAAGCTCCTCCGACCTGCAAATTGAAAACCTTTACTGCAATACTCATCCCATCCAAGAGTATTCCTTTATATACTGAACCATAACTCCCAATGCCAATTAGGTTGGTTTCACTAAATGCTTGTGTTGCTTGTAGAAGTTCCTCGTACGAAACCATCCTCCATGCAAAAGGTGACCAATCTGCTTGGGTCTGCAATTCGATCTTCTGATTTCGACGTCCCATCAACAAAAATATGAGGGCCACAACAAGAATTGCTAATGCAATAGGAGGTAAAATATATTTCAGACTCGCTAATCTCCGATTCTTGTTGGTTTTGCATGAGGGAACTTGCAGTCGGGGTGCACCACAAAGTGCATCATTATGCAAAAATGACTTAGCTGTAAAGTTGGCAAAATGTCCTCCGGTTGGAATTTCTCCTTGCAATTTGTTAAAAGACACGTTGAAATATTGGAGATACCTGAGTGCCTCTAATGACTTGGGAATAACTCCAAACAAGTTGTTATTGGACAGATCCAAGAATTCTAAGTTTATCAAGTTGCCCATTGATTTAGGAATAGATCCTTGCATCTTATTGTGGGCCAAGGAGAGAGAAACTAGCGAGTTAGCTCCTCCGATGGTGCTCGAGATTGTACCTGATAAGTGATTCCATGACAAGTCTATATTTGTTATGGCCTTCAAATTTCCAAAATCTAACGGCTGATTACCTATTAAAAAGTTTGACGATAGGTTTATAGCCAAAAGATCTTCAAGGCTCCACAAGTTTGATGGTATTGTGGAAGTTAATTTGTTCGAATCAAGATGGAGCCATCTTAGAGATTTAAGCTCACCCAAGCATGTCAGAATTGGTCCATAGAGCTTGTTATTACTAACTGAAAACTCTCCCAATTTCCTTAATCAATAAAGATCATTTGGAATGTATCCTTGCAGTCTATTTTCTTGAAGTGTCAAACGTTCAAGATTTCGTAATCTTCCTATTGTTTTTGGGATTGGTCCAGTTAACTGGTTTCTTTCTAACTCTATGGTGCCCAAGTTGCTCAAATTACCGATTCCACTTGGGATGTTGCCCTTGATTTGGCATCCAAATGCATCAAACCACTGAAGAGAATTAGACAAATTCCCTAATGAAATTGGAAGTATGCCGTTCAGTGGATTTAATGATATGCTCAATACCTCCAATTTTCCGCAATTCGTTAAAGAAGAGAGAAATCTCAACTCCGGAGTAGAAGATTCCCTAGTCAAATAATTTGTACTAAGAAAGAGCCTCTGCAAGAGTCTTAAACTACCAAGCGTATTGGGTATACATCCAGTGAATGAGTTGGCATTCATGGCAATGAAGGTTAGCCTAGAAGCATTAGAGATGTAGCTTGGGATTGTTCCTCTGAGTCCACTCTGTTGTAAATAAAGCTCTTCAAGATTCGGAAGCCAAAACCCCATGTCTGAAGGAAGATTGCTTGAGAAGTGATTCTTTCCCAGGCTAAGGATTTGCATTGTTGACACATTGAATATTTTGAATGGAATACTGCTAGTCAAAGTGTTTCCATAGACATCAAGTACATTGAGATTAAGGTTGCCAATCTCATCTGGTAAAGTACCTGCCATTCACATCATGAACACTCTGGCATTAATCATCAAGATTTAAGACTTACAAACTACCACAGCTATGGTAAGTTGAGAAGGTATGCAGTGATAAATTATCACAGTTCTTATATATGGTGCACGGTTGTTGCGTATAGAATAATTGTTGTTGATTCAATTGGTTAATCGGTCCTAAAAGTTTGTGCTATAAAGACTGACGAGGCAAGAAGAACTTATATGATGTTCATTTTTAGTTATTTTAAATAAGAGTAATAGTATAAATCAAGATAGACATTTATACAAGGGATTAAGTGAAACCACTGAATTTGAAAAGAAAACTAACCACAAATATTGAAAAGAGGTCATATATTTATGTCTACATCTATCTGTATATAGTTACCATTGTATTATACTTCTATTAACCTATTCTCATTTATGTTGTTTGCGGGTCATTATATATGCAGCTCAGTTCTTTTAAGCTTTTCTATCAAGTTTTGCATCAAAGCAGATGCTCCTTGTTTTGTTTTTAAGTCTATTCTTATTTGTTTTTTCTCCTTCTAAGTTAGAATCCACCCATTTTAAGCTTTTCTTTCAAGGTTGGCTTGGATTATTATTGTTCATAGATTTTAAGAAATTGATCTAGGGATTGACTGTTAACATTATAATTCTCTCTCATCTTTTCCATGGGCAATTAGATGCCCGGTCTTGGATTTGCAAATTATGCTAAAATGTTTCTGTATGTGGTTTTTGTGGCAGAAAGGGAACATGGATGATGTTACTTTAATGTACGACTTTGATGAAACTGTTTGAAATTACAAAGTTCTCCAACAATGGAAGCATTGTTGATTTTTGAACCTGATACTGCGATTATGTACAAGCAAAACATGTACTAAAGTAAAATAAAGGTGGTCTAGTCTTGAAGTTTACCTGTCAGGTTGTTACCATCAAGATTCAGTTCTTTGAGGGAAATGAGGTTTCCGACTTCCTTGGAAATGGTACCACTGAATTTATTATCCCTCAATGATAAAAATTGAAGCCCTCTGCATTTCCATAAGACGGATGGAATTTGACCCACAAACTGATTTGTTGAAAAATCCAGCTGTTCAAGAATAGGAAGGCCCTCATGAATGTTCACTGGGAGGTTTCCAGATAGGCTATTGTTTCTGAAATCAATAGTTTTTAAAGAAGAAATGTTGAAGATTAAAGATGGAACGGACCCTGTTAAAGAGTCACTTGGGAAGCTCAATATTTCCAGATGTGGAAGATTACCTATCTCCAATGGAATTACACCTGCAAAAGATGTAACACATAATTTTCTCCCTAGTTATACACAAATGTATCAATTTTCTATTCTGCTTACGGAATTTCTTTTCCACTGTTATATATCAGAACTACTAATTATTGAGTTAGATGTGAACTTAAAAATCATACCTTTCAAGTTGTTGATACCAAGGTGTAACTCCTTCTGCATAGTCAGGTTGCCAATTTCTCGCGGTATGCTACTAGTGAAGTAATTGACTGATAATGATAGATATTGGAGCTCCCTGCATTCAAATATTTTGGATGGTATTTGCCCATTAAGGTAATTCATACCAAGATGAAGTCCTCCAAGTTTAGGAAGATGGCTGCACATATCTGTGGGCAAACTTCCACAAGCTATTGTGGGGGATCGATCCCCCAACCCCTAGCTGAATACACTCTCTAAAATGGAGAGAGGGATCAATCCCCTTTGATCCCCTTTTGTGGGGGATCGATCCCCCACTAATTTTTTTTAAGGAAAAAAGTGGGGTTGGACCCCTCAATCGCCCCATTACCAATGGTTTAAATCCCATGGTCATCAATTGACATCTAAATCATGTAAAACCAGTCTGAATCACCATCACACACATGGACATAATGATATAGTGACATTCAACATAGCTCATTTACATGCATGCATTGCCTTAAAACAAAACGGTCTCTTTTTATAACATACATTCCCAAAATACTTGTACATGTCCCAAAAGAATATAGTTGTGCTTACAATGCCAAAATATACCAAATTTCTACAAGTATGTGTCATGGCTTTAAAAATTGGGAATTGGTGTACAAAAGATATCAAAAAGATTATCTAGTACCACCTAAGCTTGTGGAGGAGCGTCGTCCGCCACATCTTTTCCGTGACCTAAAAATGGTTATAAAGGGGTAAGCATCACGGCTCAGTAGGAGGTGCCTGAAACACACCTCTTGATGACCCCGTGAATCTAAACAAAGCATAGAAAATAGAGGAGGGGATCATGCTCATTTGGGGAATATAATATTATCAAAGCAAACCCAACAAAATCCATAAATGCAATGCCATGAATACAATGCCAATGAAATAGAATGTCGCTTCCCATTTCTAAAACATTTTCCAATCACAATCATTTCTAAACCATTTCCAAACCGTTAATGTAACTTGACCCATGACAACTCCATGGCGCCACGAGAGAAGGATTGGCTAACTACCCATGACCACATGGCAACTTCAGGGCGTGATTTGGCGCCTAAGTAGCTCAACCACGCTAGGGCAGTCTCCCTAGTTCTTTTTAGGTCTCATTAACGCCACAGACCCTAGGCAACTCCTAGGTGACCGGTTTCTGCAAACAAATTTCCAAATCCTTTCTTTCCAAAACATTTTCCCCAAAACAATTTATTTCCTTTTCAAAAACTAATTTCCCTTTTTCTTGCCCAATGCTATGCATGAATGTACATGCATATCAATGCCATGAAATTTCAAGCAATTAAACTACAATTACACTAGCTTGCTTTGGAAAGTAATGTACACAGTAATCCACACATGACCTACACATCATTTATGGCATCTTAAACATATAAAACATAGTAATTCTCATGTAACCAATATAACCATTCTGACATATAATCAACATTCTAACCATGGCAACTTGAACATAGAAATCATGTCTATACTCAAAACATTCACACCTCTTTACAATTATTCATATAAGCATGTAAATTTCATGTTAGCCACATAAAACACAACCATCATATTACCACAATGCAACCTTAACAACCATAAAAGGAAGTTATAACCAAACATGTTATTATACAAATTCAAGGGGGAAAATTCACAAAGAACAAAGATTATGAGCTTTAGAAAACTCCTATTGAAGAGAAAAACCCCAATTTTAGCCCAAAATGCGAAATTCTTAAGGTGGTCCAATAAAAAATCAGCTCCAATCAATTTGTAGCCCTCGATGTGCTCGTTAACTTTGCCTTCAATGGCAAAGTCTAATTCCAAGTGGAAATGGAGAAATCAAGCTTCAAAAACCATGCTTTTAGAGAAAGAAAGAGTGTAGAGAGAGAGGGTGTGTTTACGGTTGGAAGGAGGAAGAAAAATAGCATAAAAATATGATTTTGTGGTCTTTATACAAGCCTTGGTCAACCTTGACCTCTAAAATGACCAAATTGCCCTGTACATACATACACTCCAAAATATGATATAAATGATATAATTTAGCATATAACCACATAAATGCACTCCAAATAAATAAATATAAAATGCAACAATCCCGAAAATAATCCCGTGCACGAAAAATCCAAGCGCGGGTCCCACCCGGGACCTCCTGGCCCGAAAATTCGTAAAATGCCAAAATGGCTAACAATACATTTCTAAGAGTCCCATGACAGACTAATTTTTAGAGTGTTGTCATTGCTTTATTCAATCCATACAAAAATATTTTCCTACAATCATTTTACTAAAATTGTATAGTGATAAGCAGGGTCGAACCCATATTCAAGTTGAGATTTCGTATTGGAACTTAGATTCAAATTATTATTTAGAGAGAAAAAACAATATTAAAACATTGTTTGGATTTTGAACTAATCTACTGAAATTTAAAGCATCTAATCGAATAGACAATAAATTAAAACATGTAAATTAAAGATAAGAAAAACATAATGCATTAATTGAAAAAGAATGCAGAAAATAAATACACAAGCATCGAGCTAGCTGACTCCTCGGAGCAGCTCTCCAGAGGAGAGGACTCTCACTATCCAACTCCTAAACCTGGCTCCCCTTGCTCTGTAAATGACAATGACTATATATACACAAAACACAGGTCCGTGCCTTACTTCTCCATCTTCACTTTATCATTTTCTCTTTTCTCCCATCATTTTTTTGACTTTTTGACTTTTCTCTCTCTAAGTTTCCCATCTTTTCTTCTTTCTTTACTTTTCATTCATGTGCACACACCAACTTCACAAATATATATATATATATATATATATATATATAGAATTTGACTATGCTGATGCTGAGGCAATGATGACGTGGCGAGGGATTGATCCTTGGACCAAAAAGTATAAAATGTAATGTTGCACCTTGGTTCACTTGCATTGTAACAAGAGAGTTTGCCAATTTTCCTAGAGCACTACTCGTGTTAAGTGTTGGCTGAAAAACTATATAACCTTTCCCTTGCAGCCATCTTCCACTTCTTCTTCATTTTTGCTTGTTTTCTTCTCCTTTTCTAATTATTACAAATAAAATATAAAGCCTATATCTAATAATATTTAAATAATACAAATGCTACTAAATTATATTTATATTAAGTATATAAAATAATGGGTTTTGTGCCCTTATCATCCCGAACTCGAAGAAATTTTCCAACCAACTCTCGGGACTCATACAGCACACTCCATGATATTCGACACGCAAAATGAAGCGATAAAATAATTAAATCCAAAAATTCAAAAAATCCCTGAAAAATGAAAAATGGGAAATATTACAATCTTCCTAGCTTAAAAGGATTTCGTCCCCGAAATCAAGTCGTCTCACAAGTGAAGAATGAAAGGATACTAAATCGGAGTACGTCTCGGAGTATCCTACACTACAAGCTACGCCATAGAATCTCAATTTGAAGAAATTTTACGTCATAATGTCAGTTGAAACCCTGTACTCATGACCTAACGTATCCTCAACCGAGTAGTGACCACCAGTCACATGAAACATTACCTCCAAAATAACTAACTGGACATAAAGGTACACATTGTACTAGACAAAAGCTTCTAACCTCCACTTACCACAAACTAAGACATCATCTGCACTGTTAGGGGAAACCACTAAACACACTAGGTACAAGTCCCCAACCACACTCTATGACTCTACCGAGTCCTTACTACTCAAAACCATTAGGATCACCATCCTCCTAGCCTGAACATACCACTAGTTGACACTAAAATCCACAAATGACGACTCCAGTCGATCTACACAAACAGACACATTTCTAAAGAAATCATTCAATCCAAATTACCATAATACGCAGCTATCTATCTCACGAACACGAGACCAAAAAAACCTATTCGAATTATGGTTAAAAATGATCCAGGACCTAAAATTGTGTCAATGCAAATCCCATAAGACCTTTCACCATGAAACCATTGGATTCCCCACTAGGTGGATTCAACCCGCAACACCCCACACAGTCCACATCAACATCCTAAGTACTCACAAAGATAACAGTTACGAAACCGTTCAACACCCTAACGAGGAGCTCGACTCAAAATCCCAAGGATACCTATGAAATCACCCTCGACAACATTCCTCGTGCTACATATCACATAGTCACATAGTCCTACAAACACTAGCGATTGTGAATCACACAATCTAGAAACTCATCATGCATCATTGATTCCCAATATTGAGGATAAACTTCCTGTCATGACTATACGACAAAGAATCAATCATATCCGCAAGTGTGCAAACAAACACCTAATGCACAAGTCTCTAAAATACGGTTCAAAGATTAAGTAGTCAAATCCCTCAACCCCACTAGACACTCAGTCCTGAACTAAAACACGCCATTGCTTATGATAATCCACATCAATTTATAGAAGTAAAGTCTTTCTCTAAAAACATCCATTCTACACGAAACTCGTTTCCGACTAACACATCCAACTCCAGTCTACATGACATACTACATCCTGCCCTAGTCACCATTAATCAATCACATGAAATGATCATTGACCTTCAACCCAACATTCGGTCAACGGCGGACCTGACTCAGGAAGAATGGTTGGCCAGGCCACTCCTCTGCATCGGTCCATCCTTGACATCCATGTCGTCCTTGTCTTCAGGTCGGAACCCCAATCATCACTCCATACAACCCTAAGGGGAGGAATAAGTATTGCACCTGCAATCCTCTAAATCCCTAAACTCCTAAAGCTCACACTAAACATGAAGTGTTATGATCCAGTGACTACACACATAGGCTCTCAATACCATACCTGACAACTCATCCATCCTACCGTGAAGTTCACTTACGTGAATCTTCAAGAGTTAAGGCACTACCACAACCAATCCCTAAGTCAAATGACCACCTACATCTAGCCATCATTACCACAAGACTCTAAGAAGAACCCCATGCTTCATCGACAACCTACGCCTTAGACTCAAATGGTTCCTAATTCGAAATATACGCCATAAAACTAAAAACTTCACTCCCCTCTATAGAAGTAGGCCAACCAACCCCAACCAAATCCACACTGGAGACTCTTAACAAAGAAGGGACTCTATAGAAGTCTGCCCATCCGTTGACACACACAACTCCCATATGAAGAAACAACACCCGAAAAAGACTGCGTCCATGCCAGGAC